AATTTCAAGCATTAAAGACCAGGCTCTGAAATAAGATCAACACAATTTGGAGATTCGAATGATAATCATTAAAGATGCAAGTGACATTAGAAAATTTTCTTCTGATAAAGATGTGAAAACGAAGAATCCATAATGAAGTAACATGAATTTATGTTAAAAGTGCAGTTCATCTGTGAATCTAGACAAAATATAGTGGTTTTCTTTTTTAGAGTAATCACGTGATTATGACTGCAAATAATATACTGGAAAGGAATGAATCTGTAATTTTTATTTTAATGTACTATTCCAGAATTTACTTGAAAAAGCATCAGTCAGCATATTCAGTTTAGGTGCCAAGAATAGAACTTTGGTCCTACGGAGTAAAATGCAGAAGTTCTATCCACAGCACCGCAATGTCAGTTGAAGATATGATTAAATCTGTGTCATTAAGGGTAATATTTGGAGACAGAATATCTGAGCCTCTATAGCGAAAGGCTACGGGCTGGACGGCTCGGGTTCGATTCCCGGCGGTGAATGTATTTCTTTTCTCCACAGAGTCCAGACTGGCTCTGGGGCCAACTGAGTCTCCTACCCAACGGGCACAGTGGGATTCTTCCACAGGGGTAAAGCGGCAGGGTTGTGAAACTTACTACTCACCTCCATCTAGTTCTGGGTTCAGGAACTGTGGCGCTATAGCTACACTCCCCCGCATGTCTTCATGGCACTGTGCTTAACTAATTAAGCACAGGTACAAATTTACCTTTTTAAGTTAACATTTTAAAAACTAACGGACTAAACAACGACAAAGTTTCTGGTAACAGAACCAGAGGATTAAAAATCACTGGTACTAATGACACAGTTCATTTACAAATTTTCTCTCATCTATGGGTCTGGTCTTTTTGTCAAGAGATATTATGCTTGCGCCAAAATCCCATACCGATGATCACCCCTTGTCGGCTTTCGCGACTACTTCTTCACTACCCTCCATTAATGGAGTCCGTTTCCTCTATGCACATCTCATGCTCATGATTTGCCGTGGTACAAGACGACCAATTTCATATAGACTTCAAAAGATTGTTAATCGGCTTACTCTTGAACCCTGATGATGGAGGCAGTGTGTTCTTCAGAAACGTCAGTAAAAGCCTACCTGACTATATGGCGTCAGCAGGAAAAGGTCCTTCGTCTATTTATTGTCCACGTAAACAAAACAAAATCAGATTTCTACGTTAACCAGCAAGGGAAAATTAAAATGTACTTCATTACACGGAAATTCATGCTGTTACGTGTACAGTGCAAAAGAGAAAATAAGTTGCAGTCTTCTCAGTTCTGTTACAAAACAGCAATTGATGTTCAATCTCTGTGCAGCTTCCTCATCCATAATTTTCAACACCTGGAGAAAACCACATTGGTCGAAACATGTAGTGTAAAACTTTTAAATTAATATTTTTAATAAGTTTTATTGAATATTAGTGTTGCACTGTAGAACTAATTGATACTTTTTTGAATAGGTCTCTTTTATCCATTACAGCGACGGGTTATGAGCTGGACTGTTGGAGTTTAATTAGCGACAGGGGTAAAAGAATTGTCTCTCTTTCACAGCGCCCAGACCGGTTCTCGGGATCACCCAGCCTCCTATATGATTGATGCCGGAGGATCGTTCCCCGGGGATAAATCTACAGAGACGTAAAACTGACCATTCAACTCCATCTAGTGCTGAGGTCAAGAATGGTGGAGCTATACATCCAATTGCCTAAATGGCTTCATGGCGTGATACTTAAAAAAATTAGCACAGGGACAATTTTACCTTTTCATTTAATCCGCCCATATATTTGTTTCCTGTTATACCACATACATTCAAGATCACTTTGTTTCAAACAAAATTTGTATTATAGAGTAAAGCAGAGAAATAAGGCGATCTCAATGGTCCCGCCGTCTAATTCGTGTAATGTTTACTACCGATCAGAAGCTGGGATCATGAGTTCGAATCCCACTCACGTCATGGATGCATATCGGTTTCTTTTCTATATTTGCGTTGTCCTGTGTGGGTAGAGACTTTGTTACAGGCCGATCCCCCTTCCAAGGAGCTCTACCAAATGTCTACAAATAAGATTCCGAAATCCAGAAAACGGAACTCCTTGGGCAGCACTGGTCTCTCGTGCCATACAAGAAAAATCTAATAATAATAATAATAAATTAATGAATTATGATTCCAATTAACGCCCAGCTTGACCGAGCTTATGTCTCTCTAACTGTCTGTGTGTTGTTCGTCCGTCCGTCTCTCCGTCCATTTATTAATTTATATAAAAATATCAATAAGATTGTTAGCCCTTTAGAATTTACGGGAGTTTATATGAGAACCTTTCTCAAATCGTTTGACCAGTCCAACGGTAGAAACACAAGCCTCCTTCATCAAATCCTTTTGCGCGTGTCTGTACTCATTGCGCAATCGACAAGCCCATAGCCCAGAAAATCAAAAACAAAATCCACCCACATCACAGCAGATGCCGGAAACGGCCCCTGTTGTTACGCACGCATTCCTGGCACCCCCGTAAACCATTCAAATTAACACATTGAAGTGCCTTCTCGAAAATGGAACAAACTTGTAACTTTAAAACCTGGTTCCCTCTGCAAGGAACCTAAAGGATTTTGAAGCGAAATGTTCAAGCCTAGCACCGATTTCATTCAGTTTGTCTTAGGTGAGCCCTTAGAGTTTTGATATTGTTCCCTTTTCCTCATTATTTTTTACCTTTTGCCCAATAACGGCGCCGTCTGTCTAAATTCATCTCCGAAAACATGAATAGTTTCCTTTTATTTAGAATTATAGCATTCTGAAATTTATGTTAGTGTCTTCTTACTTTTAATATGGCTATTGCATATGAATACTCGTTTCAACGTATAAATCACACGTGCCATTTTTACACCGTAAATATTGTAATAGGAGTGACCAAATATTTAATACATGGGAAGGATCTTGGAATTACGGTCGGCCGGTACATAAAGCCTAGGATCATTTTACGATATCTGTTAGAAGTTATATTGAGGCAATATTCTATTTGTAATGTGTATAGTTTATTTGCCTGTCGACTATGCCACGAGTACTAACACGATGGGTGGTGACGCAGGTAGCATGTGTCCTTCCCGCCGGACCGGCCGAACTATTTGCTTCAGGCTCACAAACATTCTCACTGTATGTGAGATTAGAGGTGTCCACGTGGGTGGCTGTCAAAATTATGTCTTTCAGGATGTGATCCAGTGACTTTTATAAATTTGTACCAACATTTCGGGGGAAACTTCCGCCAGCATCTTCACGGCGCAAGACGAGAGAAGCAGAAAGTTCCTCCGAAAAGTTGGTGCACATTTACGAATCTACATGGCGTTATATCCCAGAAATTTTTATGTTACAAATGACCAGGCTGATTAGCATGAAATCCGCTTTGCTATCATATTACTGGATACTCCTCCTTCGCGCCTATTTTTAACTTTCTGTGACCAACAATATCAACATGATCATTATGGGAACTTGTGAGAAGGCAAACAAAATTAGCGCAATTGAAAACAGTGTCAGAATTCTATACAGCTGTAAATCTTAGATTTGCATGCAATTACTAGGACCGTAATATTAAAATTGTTACATTCAGGAAAATGAAAGTATGAATATGGCAGCTACGTGAAATGTTTTCTTATGGTGAAGGAAACTGACGTTTTACTGTAACATGACCTTTGAAATTTACATGACACAAGAAACCTCAACGGGTTGGCGTAACACTAAAACTCTACACTGGTATTTCAAAGGTATTCGGTTCGAATCTCCGCCGGGGCACCGGCTATCCTAAGGTTTTTCATCCCTCCACACAAAAGATGAAATAGTACTTCGATTACGTCACGATAGCTTCCATTCAAACACCCTGCAATGCATCATTACGTCATCCCATCACTAGACTCCATAAAGGCCTAATCTTGCTGCTGCGAGCATCATAAGAAAACCCACAAAAATAAAAAAGACACAGGAGTGATATTCACTAGTTGTACTATTTGTTTTGCAACCTAATCTGTCTGCTTCTAAACCTGAACACCAGGATTAAGGGCAAGTAATTTTATTTGTTGTCCCATTATACATCTACAAGTGCTTTAATTGATTCATCCTTACGTCTCATCTCCAGAAGCTCTGAGTGGATGTCGATGGAATTTGGCATTGGGCGAGTCACATACAAATTTGGTGGGTGAACATTATTTCGGTTGGCAATGGTCGAACATAACTTACCTTAAGCATATATGAAGCTCAAATCTAGCTTTATTTCTCAAAGGAAAGGAAGGCTATCAGTACAAAATATTTACGTATCATGTCAAGTTATAATTAACTCCACGGAACCAAGTCTTTCTTGAGAAGCCCAAAAACCGCTAAGCTACTGAAGAATTTTTCAACATTTTATGGAACACGAATATTCATTACCATGTTAACAACAGTCAGCCACAAGTCTCTATCCTGAGCCAGATGAATTTTAAATTGAAACACTTTCGGTATAGTGAATATTTAACGAAATATGAAGAACTAATATGATTCAGTAGAATCCATCTTGAAAAACTGAAGTTTCCCAGCTGGTCAAAAAATATCCACTTTTACTGGACCGGAAGGTTCATTACATTTCTCAGCATCACTCCACTGGACCTTGTCCCGGGCCAGCTGATTCTCGCTTTAATTAAATATCAGGAAACTAATTGAATGATTCCGTGCCGTTAGTTTTGCAGAAGTATAGTTTTATCTGCAATAAATGAACATCAAAGACAACGTGGGATGAAGAATACCAACGAACACATTTAGAAAACATGCATATTCTTGCACGTTAATATTTTATATTTGTTTGCAATGTATTTTAGCTGACACTAATCACGAATTAGTAATTAGTTATAAGCCTACTAAAAATGTTGGTGAAGATAAGCCTTAGATATAGTCCTGCTTTAGGTCAAACGGCATGGAAAGTGCCAAAGTTCTAAACGGCTAACAGAACTCAAACCAAACTCACCTCATGATTTCGTGTTCACGCTCCTCTTCTTGCTTTTGCCTCATCATGACAGACTCGATTATGCGTCTTTCCTCGGCTGTGAGGTGCGACATATCCGGCAAATCCGCCATCGTCAAGTGACAGCAGGAGATGACACTATTAATTCTGAATATGAGAGTGATGGTGAGTTGAATGATGATGCCCCGCTGCACCGAGGCTATTGTTCTATCCTGAGAATGCTTGTTGCTTCCGACAGCACAGGGCAGGAAGAAGAATTGGACACTTTCGTGGTGTAATGACTCCACCATTGCTGCGATGCGAATCTGTTATACAGAGCCACCCGACGGCCACCATTTTGTTTCTATCCGAGACTCTTTTTTTTTAATACCCTCTCTCTTTCTATTTCCTTCCTTCTTTCTCGCGCTCCTTCGGCGTAGCTCTTTCTCGCTCGTTCAGGTCGTTTTTGGTCTAGCCTTGTACGCGAAATGTCTGTTTATTAATTACTACATTGATGGATATCACTTCAACTATTCTATACACACACGTCTTTTCAGAAACAATAACCGCACACTCACACATAAATAAAAATAAAATATCAGACACACACGGGAGATATTAAAACAAAAATCAAAATATTTCTAGTTTGTCTATGGCATTTTGGATACTCGCTTTGTAACTGGGACTGAATTTATCTAAGACGAAGAAGACGCTACGTAGGATTCTTGTCCGATGGGACGATCTCTTCGTTTGTAGTGCAGATGTGTAGCCAGGCACTACTACCGACGATGACGTAGCGATCTTGCATTATCAAATTCCGTTCTCCCTTACACACATCTCGCTTAATTTCGTGCCCCATTCTCGCATTACTCTGTGCGATGTACAACGAGTCGGAAACTTCTCCGTTTTGAAGTCTGCAAATGTCTCCCGCTTTAACAGGCCCGATGCGTTACACGTTACTAGCGGTCTGCTTTTACACGTCACCACAGTTCATGTGCAGTTGTACTGATAAGAAGTCACCGCGGAGAAGAATAAAAACCGCATCACAACCCTTTTCTCTTTTTTGGATGACAGGGTGGGGAAGGAAACCGAGAGAGGGTTGGGGAGGGTTAAATATAGGAAACACTTTCTTGGTTGTATATGTGGCAGTGATGATGGTGGCCGGCGTCCACTCGACAGCTTCACCGTCATATATAAAACATAACTTCCTTACACCGATCACTCGCAAAGAAAATAGTCCCGACAACCGAAACCTTGTTGTATCCGAAACGTACAACACAACTTAATGGGGCTGAGAATCTTTCAACACATCACCATCCTCTCCCTTTTTCACCCTCTTCGCTAAAATTACTCATTCATGCAGAGGTTAATATATAATAGGATGCGTTAAATCTAAACCAATGGCGTGTGGCCTGGCAATGACGTCAGGACACTATATACACATACATCGGGTGGAATGGAAGGTATTGATCCGGTGAGTTGGTGGCGTTACTGTCGATCCTGGATGGCGGTGGTGAATGAAGCTGAAAAGGACGCTGGAAAACTTAGACGAGGGAGGATGAGGGAGGCGTCGTGACACAAAATACGCAGGCGTCGGTGTATTGCGTGGGGATGTATCTTCTCCCGGCATGCTCAACGCATGTTCCGTGCGTGGGAGTTCTCTGCCGACAACATCTGTATAAACGTGAATACGAAAGGGCGACATGTCACAGTCGCCTTGATGATACAATTTTTTTAAATATGAAAATCGCTCACGAATTATTGTGCCCGTTCTGGTCAAGCAATATGCAACATAACCTTCGTTTATCACTCATAAGCATATTTTAAAGCACAAGATTATGTAACGATCACTTGGGTTTTGGAACTGGAAGTGACAGTGGCGCGTGGCAATTCAGTGTACTAAAATAGAATAGCTATTGTGTCAGTGGCTAGGCAACAGGGCGTAACCCACAGACATTTGCATTCGTCAGTCATTTTATTGAGGTTATCAGATAATTCCTCTTCTTGTTAATTGTAGTAATTAAATTATATTTCAGTGACTTCATTAAAAGTATAAAAATTTCGTTGTGATGAATAAAACTGTAAATAAATTAATGTCAAATATTGGCAACCTGATGAAAATGAACTTTAACGAGAAATTTAATCCTTAGAGTAAAATATGTTAAATATAAAGCGACAGATTACTGGTTTTTATTCAGGAATAAATATATTATTGACGTGTGATTATTTTTCTTCTATCAATTTTTAACGAGTAGCAATTTCGGAAATATTTACAAAAAAAAAACAGTATTCTTTCACAAGCACAAGAAGCACACACATCAAAATAGTGAGTCCCAAACTTTCTGATATGATGCCCCCCTTTTTGTTTTCACCAAACCCTCATGCACCCACGAATTATTTGATTGAAAAAGATGTTATTTCGGCCCTCGTATCTTGGTCAACTAACCCTTAATTCCTTTACCCATGTGTGTGCCATATACGTATGTACCCTATAAGGAAGAGTGAAATTATGGGTAAAAACATTAAACATCAATTCATTTTATTAAAGTTTTCCGAATGAACAAAACGTAATGACAGTGTTAAGACCTATATACTTTGATCAACTTCTATAATGTAGTATATCACAATTTCTTCAAATTCGAACCATTTCCAAAATAAATTTACTAAATTTTAGTAAATATTCTGAAACGCCACTATGCAGTTAGTTAACCGTTTTACTCGTGGCCTCCAGTTCTCCCTTGGAATCCATTCAAGCCCCAGCCCATTCCCAGAAGGGCTGCCCACGAGCTTCAGGACCACTGCACTAAAGAAACGCTTGACACATCTTGGTTCGAATAACGTGATTGGAAAAATAAACGCAAAGTTCTGTTACAATTTATGTGCGTGACTAGGGTAACCATGCTTTCCGTTTTGAACGGTAAAATCCCGTTTCGTCACTTTTATCCTGTCGGTTTACCTTAGAATATTACTTTGTTCCATTTTCATTCAAAGTGACAGTTTTTGTTTGTTTGCTGCTGTAACTATTTATTTTACTTTCAAAAATCGAATGCTTTATTGTGCTTTCGATTTGGTCGCTTAGAATTAATTTTAATTAAATCAAGAATAATTCGTTACGATCAGCTTCACGTCAACTGTGCCTACTGTATGCTTGCCTGCGTTTTGTTCCTTCACCGTTTATCGCGATGAGACGCTTCTTATAACTGAACTATTTGTGGGACCAGGCGATATTAAAACTTGTCTTTGGGCAGGTGGGGACAAAACCGGCTTCCCGTTCTAGGCGCAAATGATTATAACCACCCCAACATTTAAATGTATTTAGCCCGAAGTGAACTTGTGTAAGGACGCTGTGATACATAACACCTAGCAACAAAAGAAAAACAAACTCCGTGGCTTTAGTCCGCAAGCGAACTATACCGACCGAGAGACTGCTGCTTGTCGGCGAGTGCCAACTTTAGCAGATAGAGGGTGTCGCGTGGTCAGCCCAACGAATCCCCGCGGCCGTTAATTTCGGGTTTCTAGACCGGAGCCGCTACTTTTCCATTCAAGTAGATTCTCAGTTATCCTCACGTGGTTGAGTGGACCCCGTTCCAGGGCCACTATTTTTCAGAAAATTTGGTAGCGCCGGGAACCGAAACCGGGACCTCTGGATCTGTAGCTAGGAACTCTGACTACTAGACCACAGAGAAGGAGAGACGGTTAGCATTCCCCTAGACAAGCAACAAAAGAAAATTATCCATAAATCAAAGATAGACAGAACAGAGTACCACGAATCACTAAGTATATAACAATGGCAACATTCGACTAAAGACGCGTGACGTGAAATTCAGTCCTCAGTGATGACATCATCTTTTGTGTTTCTTGCAAATTAACGCTCCATTGCAGGAATGTGCCAAGAGAACATCGGTCCCTGAAATATGGCTTTATTCGGGAATATTTCAAAGTAGTCTTCAAAATGTGTATATTCGCTTGTAGAATATTAAGTGATGGACATAATTTAATTTTTATAACGTATTAGTTCCTTTTGGGGATAAAGGTGTCTGCTACTGCTTCATTCCTCTCTCGAGGTCCGCACCCAGTGGCATGTAAAGGACTTTCCGTTACTGCAGACCAGGCGTCAGGGGAAGACTAGATCGCCATATTATGGGTTTAAGTAAGTTATGTGGGTCCCACATATTTACTGATGTGAGACAGCAAATTTCCGATTTATGTCTCCCATGCGGTAGCGTAGTTGGTTGAGGCACTATGCTACAAGCCTTGAGGTCGCGGGATCGAATCCCAATGAAGTGAATTTTTTCAATTTACCTAATTCTTTCAGCCGCCCTATGGCCCTAGGCTCTACTCAACCTCTAACAGAAATGAGTACCAGGAATATTCTTGATGGTATAGGGCGGCCGGCGTGTAAGGCTGACAACCATATAGCCATTTATGAGCCAATTATCTAGAAAATGTGGGAACCTCAACATCTCACAACCCTATGGGCCTCCACGGCCTCTTACAGGGATAGCTTTACTTACTGTACTTATTATGTATCCCATTTTCTACAAGTCCTTTAAAATGTGGCACAGTTCAAATATTGGGAAAATCTGTTAACAGATCAAAATTTGATTCGGGAGAAAATTAAAGTGAGATTGAATTCGGGTAAAGCTTGCTACCATTCAGTCCAGAACCTTTTGTCTTCTCGTCTGCTGTCTAAAAACGTCAAAATTAAACTATACTCGAGTGGCTGCGCAGCTGAGGGCTTCTCAAGAAGGACCATTGTCTCCCATTTATAAGATAAATTTCTTCCTGTACTTAACTGAGTACTATGCCATAAAGACGTATGGGGGTGTGGATGTATAGATTCACGCATTCTTGACCTCAGTATTAGTTCGAGATGAGTGGTCAGACCGGTAGCTTAACCACGAGGAAAGAACCCCCGGAACCTTTAATAAGAGGCTGGGTGGGCCCTAGAATCTCTCTGGGCGACGTGGAGAGGAAAAAGAACTTTGTTCTTACCGAAATTGGAACTCCTAACACTAGGCCGTCCAGTCCGTGGCCAGTCGCCATACCGACTTGCGCTCCCATTTGTACATAGAGGAAATTAAGGGTACATATTAATACGTTAAAAATAAATTACGGCGGAAGAATTTCATATTGCAATGATATGCTCNACTGCCGGGAGAACCTAAAATTCAACTAAATTTTTATAGTTTACATCATTATAATTCTAAAACTGCAAGCAGAGCACCACAGAATAAAATCTACACGGCAATGATAAGGCCAGTAATTATGTACAGATATGAAATGGTTTGCGCTTGAAAATAATAAAGTTATGTATACTAAATACATGGGAGAGGAAAGTTTTGAAGGTGTATGGAGCAGTAACTAAGCAAGGAATATGGAAAATCGAAACTACGAGTAACCCAGAACTAATCTGGCAACAGATATTAATAGGAGAAGACCTGAAGGGCTTGGGCATGTGATCAGAATGGATCAAATAAAGGTGGCTAAGAAACCTTTCTAAAGCAAGCCTGTCAGTAGAAGAAAGTAGGAAAGCCCAGATTGACATGGCAGCTGAAAATAAAGAGATGAAGGCAAAAGGAAATTAGGAGAGAACAACGGACATTTGACGTGAAGGAAGTCATGGTTCCCAAGAGCTGTAGGTCTGAAGTTAAGATGGAAAGGGGTAAACTCAACTAAACAAAATATTCCAAATGTACAAAATGTATTTTGTTGCAGTATTTTTAAGTAGCGAATTTCCGAAATTTATGAAGAATATTATCTTTAAATATCCTTCTTTCTTTCTTTATGTTAACTGTTTAGCGTTAATGTTGCTGAAATCACTTGGGAATCCATTTTATACTTAAAAATCTGTTCTGCATTTATGAAGACGATAAGAATAGGAAATATGATAAAAGGTGTTACACAGTAAAAGTATCAAATGAAGTGGATACAACGTGCGGAACGTAAAGCGTGGTAGATATTTTTCTGTAATCCAATGGGAAGATCGGGAGTAACTCGCCCGAAGTAAACTGGAAGGAGCAATTCGGTAGCCTCAGAAAGGAATTTGTATACCCAGTCCTTACTGTGGAAGAGAAAGAAGGAAAAGAAGAAGAAGATGAATTTACTGAATTATTATCTGCACATCTAGATTGAGTTCTAGAAATAGAATTTTCCAATCCGGTTATTTCGACTAAAATGTTCTTTGCATTTTCTCCCCAGCCTACCAATCACTGTATCTTTGATCCGATCAGCCTACAAATATTACGTTCGAAGTTCGTATTACTAAGTTCCTCTTTATGTATTTTAACAAAAAACATTTCGAATGTCATCAAAATTATTATAGGTCAATATCATGGGTGGTAGTCCTATTGATCAAAGTCTAGACCACATAAAATGCCCCTGTGCCAGTTTAATTAACCTGAACTCTACTGCCATCTCGTAGCAGTAAACTCAACTCTGACCAGTTCCTTGCTGGGTACATTCTGAGCAACAAAGAGAAACCCACTCGTGTCACGTGTTTAGTAACATAATAACTTTAACATTCTCGATTTCCTTGGCTTTCAGAGAAGAACACATACTACAAGTGTTCGAAAATAAAATTCTTATGAAGAAAATTTGAAATTAATAAGGATGAAGCAAAGTAGTTCTTTTGGATATTATAATAAGAACATCCTGAGTTGTACAAGTTACATAATAATATTATTAGAATAACAGAGCCTAGGAGACTACTATGGAGTGAACATGTAGCAAGAATGGGGATTATAAAGACTGGATACAGAATTTTGAAGAGACACACGTTTGCAAAACGTCCACTTGGAAGACCGAGAAGGAGTTCGCAGAGGATTATTATTTTTATTATTGCTAGTGGGGTCAGACTAAGTCCCTTGTACCGCGGCCACTTCTGGCCTATTGTAACAGCCCCAGATGATAGGTGAGGGTGATTGTGGAGCAATTGGTGGAATGAAGATTGGCAAGAGAAACCGAAACACTCGGAGAAAACCTGCCACAGCGCCACTTTGTCCACCACAAATCCCACTTGGCCAGACCCAGGATCGAACCCGGGCCGCCGCGGTGGGAAGCCAGCGACTAACCGCTTGAGCTATGGCCCGGCCTTAGAGTATTAAGCTGGATGTCAGAAAATAGGAGGTGAGTTTTGAAGTGGATGAAACTGGCTTAGAATGGTGTCCAATAACGTGATTTTGGTTAGCGTTGCTGAACTTCGGGATGTGCAAACACGATACGAATTTAATACAATATCACAAATATATGAAATACATAAAATGAATGGATGTCGCACCTCTTCTAGTTTATCTGTTTATTTAGCTGATCCCATGTTTATTTTCCCAAACAATCAGGCATTTCAGTTATATTTGTTACGGGTATAGTCTAAACAGTGCCGGTCACGGTAGCCGAGCGGTCTAAGGCATGCACTGTCTACGCTCGCTCGGATCGTGGGTTCGAATCCCACTCAAGGCATGGATGTTTGTGTGCATTTTTCTGTGTTTGTCTACTGGTAGAGGCCTTGCGACGAGCTGATCACTCGCCCAAGGAGTCCCACCGTATGTGTAAAATCTAGTAAACCGAAGTGAAACGGAGAGTTTCATGGACGTAGGCCTAGGCCCAAAATTGGGGCTGTAGCGCCACAGAAAAAAAAATAGTCTGAACAGTAGTTGACGAGTGAACTTAATTTGGTTCATTTTGGCTTCTGCTGTAAACTAAATATGTCAATTTGTGGTTAGTTTACAGCGATGTCAGTATCTCAGACAATATAACATCGCATGCTAGAATGATTAGTGAATAATTGATTTGAAAAAATCTGGAAAGAAAAGGTTCTTGGCCTAATCGAGGTAATTTCCTAGTGAAGCATGTCTAATTTCTCAAAAGTCATCGCAAAAAAATGCACACTAATCGATAAATGACCGAACAAAAGGGACCTGAACTTTAAAAGGTCAGAATCTTAATTTAGAATTAAAGTCTACAGTTTGATAGAAATGAGATGAAACCCATCAAACGCTCTGTTTCAGTGACTAAATCTGTAAATTTATACTCTGTGTAACTTACGAATATACTACGCGACTATCTTTTATTCTCTCTGACCGAACTCTGGTGGACCTAACATGCCTTGTCTTCTGCCAACGATTCGACATGCATATTTCTCCTGCCTTTCATGAATAGCCATACAAGCCTCTTTCGACCTCAGTCGAACTTTCGCAGAATTTACAAAAGTGTTCTTCCCCTTTGACTTAAATTAAAAGTAATTTTAATTAGGTTTCTGTGGTCTAGTGGTCAGAGTTCATGCCTACAGATCCAGAGGTCCCGGGTTCGGTTCCTGGTGCTACCAGATTTTCTGAGAAGTATGGGTCTGGAATGGGGTTCACTCAGACTCGTGAGGATAATTGAGGGGCTATTTCAAGGAAGTAGCTGCTCCGGTCTAGAAAACCGAAATTAACGGCCGTGGGAATCCGTTGCGCTGACCACGCGACACCCTCTATCCGCTAAAGTTGGCGCTAACTTCGCCGACAAGCGGCGGTCGCTCGGTCGGTTCACTCGCGGACCACAGGCCACGGAGTGTTTTCTATCTATTCTTAAGCGTTTTCTGCAGAGTCATATCCACTTCAACATGTGGAATTATCCTGTACTTTATAGAAAATAAATGGTAACTTTCTTTGACATCATGGTTCACCCTGCACAAACAAACATACCTCTTGTCAGAACTTAAAGTCTTACTTTCAGTATATGATATTTGAAGTTCACAGAGACTTGGAATTCAACGTCGTATGGTTTGCTGGATAGGTACAAAAGTTTAGGAACAGTCTGATACTTCCATGTTTAGGATAGAATTGAAGTCATCAGGTTCCTCCGAAAGACTGATACCATCTACAAAGTACTCGGCGTCACATCTCAGCACAAATTCGTGTTAATTTAAGTAGAATGTTACCCTGTTTTCCGTAGTCTTAATAAAATGCGAGTTTTCATGCAGTATGGTAGGCGAGAAACTGGTAGTAAGGCCTAATATTTCATATCTGCTTCATATTTTTCGTTTATTTGTAAGTTATATAGATTTATACATGCATGTATATAGCATCATTTTTCTTGCTTTATTTTTAATGGCGGGTAATTAGGTAAAAGGCCCATGAAAATAACTGACATTACCATCATTAGATGCTACTGCTTATTATCACAAACAATATTAGTAACACTGAACGAAAGAAAAACTGTTGAAGTCATTCAAATATTTTCTAAATATCAGAATGAAGAAAGTCATTGTGATCTTATGTAGACCTAGACCCACATAATTTTGACGTTACTATATATAAGACCTTATAAAATCAAGTGAGTGTACAATAGAGATACATTTCCAAATCAGAACAAATCTTGAAGCACTGGAACACTCTTAGGAAAATAAGAAAATATATTTGACCTGTGCAATTGCAACGAATGCCGACTAAATCCCAAAGGTAAATTTATCCATTTGATTAATTAAACACCGCGTAGGAAGACGTTTTGGGATAATGAAGGTACAGCTCCCCGTATTCTGAAACTACGTACTCTACGGAGATAAATGGTCAGCTTAACGGTCCGATCGCTTTATCCCCAGGAAATGGGTACCACCCGGTACCAGGCAGACAGGAGAATGTGTAGGCCACAGACCGTGTAGGCTGGTTGCGAGGACAAAATCCTCCGTCCCTGCCGAGAATCGAACAACGTCCGTCCAGCCCCAAACCAAGCATTTGGTAGGCTAGGTATCCCGGCCCAGAATAAATATATAAAAATGACTTTAAAATCAAGTTTCTAGAAATACAGCTGCTGCCCTTTCTTTGTTAAAATACAGGGTTATTATAAAATACATAGACATTTTCAACTTTTTTATAGAAACCGAAGTATTGTTGAAATAGCCAAAATACATGGTTTTTCAGTATATGTCTTTGAGTTTGTAAGACTAAGTTACAAATGTTTTATGTGTGAGCCTTTTGTCACACGACAGATATCAATACGATAATTCAATTCGTTCCAAACACACCGGAGCATGTCCTCGTCAGCACAGGTAATAGTTGCGATGCGTTGCTTTAGAGTGTTTACACTTACAGGAAGTGGAGGAACAAAAACTCTCTTTGATACATCCCCGCAAGAAATAATCAGTGGGAGTCAGATCGGAATTCTTGGTGGCCAACTTGTCAGTGCCATGCTCTGGTCTGTTGAGCGGTGTTGAGAACGAACTGGGTTATTTTATTGATATCTGCCGTATGACAAACGTCTCACACATAGAAAATTTGTAACTTAGTCATACAAACTTAAAGATATACAAGTATACTAAATTCCGTGTAAGTATTTTGGCCATATCAATAATACTTTGGTTGCTATAAAACGTTGAAAGCGTCTATTTCTTTTATACTAACCTTGTATAATGATCTAAGACAAAAGAATACCGTTGTGTTTGTCCTAACAATTCAAATATAGGTTCAACTTATTAACTGCACTATATTAGAATGCATGATTCAAAATCTCTTCAAATAAAAACTTCATGCTTATTACATGATAGGCCCACCAATGTGTAAAGAGAAATGTCAATTCATAATGAAAAATGACGTAACATAAGTATTGAATGTTGCAAGAAACATAATGTGTATATTCCTCAATAGTGAAGAAGATATAATACCACATGAAGTGTGCAATATTCAAGTGAAACAAATGACCTGAGCAAAAGAAATCATAGTCAGTGCACATCGAAATGTTTGAGTTATAGGTTATGTTTCAGTTACTAAACAAGAAATATTTGTAATGATCAAACATTCTTACAAATATGTACACATTTTAAATACGTGCATTACCAGCTGTAGTAGGCAAATGACATTTGACCTGTTTATGTATCACGGAAGTTCAAATGGACAGTTTCCAATACCCAGGAAGCAATTCAGTAAATCTTGGAAAGTAAGTCCCAGCGGTATAAGGAGTGAATTAACAGCGTTCCGAATTGCCTCGATGATTTGATGCATAATGTAGGGCTTCACCAGATTAATTAATTCTGGGATAATTTCTCCCATGAGATTGTTGAATATGTGCTTTGTTTTACCACCAGTAAGACCTATCATATTTTCGATATCAACCTGTAACAAATAGAATGCAGCATTGTTATGTCGTAAATCTTGCTTACAGCGGAATCAAGAAGGCACCGAATATTTTGCCTGCATCGAACATGTCTCGTTTAAAATGAGTACAACTTTATATATATTGTATTACTTACTTACTCATGGAGCTGAGCCCTTCTCCAGGAGCCGAGAATTCTGCAGCTACTCAAGAACTTCCCAGCATTTTATGGAACCCGGAGGTTCATTAAAGTGTTCATAAGATACATATATATGTGTATGTTACTCAAAATAATTGTGAGATGACTCATATATTTTTCTTACCTCCAAAGAATCAAAAAAGATGTTGACTTCTAACGTATCTAAATAGATGGTCCTGTTCTCTAACGTTCCGATAGAAAGGAGGCCTTGCAGACGTAGATCGGTAACTAGACTGGAAACACAATGGGCAAAATATTTTTAAGCATTAAACAACAAATCTCAGTCACTTAAAATAACTTTATTAATTACATAAGTTGTTTTTAAATTCTTCCAGTTAAGCATAGTATAAGTATTCGCTATATCATGTATATTTACACATTATATGTCTATTAGTAAGTAAATAGTATAAATAAAGTAAAGCTATCTCTGTAACAGGCCGTGGAGGCCCATAGGGTTGTGAGACGTTGAGGGTCCCACATTATCTAGACAATCGACTCATAGATGGCTGTAAGGTTGTCAGCCTTACGCACCGACCACCCTTTACCCCCAAGAACATTCCAAGAATATTCCTGGTACATTTCTGTTAGAGGCTGAGTCGACCCCAGGGCCATAGTGCAGCTGGAAGGATTAGGTTAATTGAAAAAAATCCAACGACCTCATCGGGATTCGATGAGGTCTTCAACACACTGGAATAACAGAAAGTGTTTATTAAGTAAAAAATAAAATTTAATATTGTTCGTGTGCTTAATTAGATAAATAATCAAGCCATGGAAAAATATGGGGTAATGGAAGCATAGCTCCACCTTTCTTGACCTCGGCCCTAGATGGAAGAGACTGGTCAACTTCACGACCCTGCAGCTTTATCTCCGGGGAAAGGGCCCGCGGTGTCCATTGGATAGGAGGCTGGCTGGGCCACAGTTTCGGGCTAGGCGCTGTGAAGAATCGACCATAGTCCGTCCAGCCCCTAGCCCGTTGCTATGCCGACTGGGCTATCCTGGTTTCTACATATGTATTAACTGAGTTATAAACTGAGAAGCGCCATCCAGAGGCTCAAATATAAATTTTAAAAATAAACGACAAATATGTTATCATATATGCCTTAAGAATAAATTAATTAGGGATAGTGAAGTCGATATAGCGACTGGCTGCTGGCTGGACGAGCGAGGGATCGGAGTTCCAGTCCCGGTAACGACAAGAATTTTCGTTCTCCATGTTGCCCAGGCCGGCCCTGGGGCCCACCCAGCCTCCTATCGAATTGGTATCTGGTGCTCTTTTCCCGGTGGTAAAGCGGCAGGGGCGTGAAGCCGACCACTCGCCTCCAACTAGTACTGAGATCACAAATATGTGGATCTATACATCCACTCCCCCATACGTCTTTATCGCGTAATGCTTAATTAGTTAAGAACAAGGACAACTTCACTTTCAGCTTTACAACTTTACATACTGGATCTACTTAGACAATGTCAACAATGTTCCTGCAAATGCAATGACAGTTATTATTTTATTTCAAACATATAGTTGGATTCAAGACAAAAATATTTATAACTGAAAATAAAATATAAGGACATAATACAGATTTGCGCGAGTACAGAAAACGCTTGGTCATTGCTTCGGAGAAGAACAAACAGTGCAGTAAATAGAGTCGATTACCCAACAGGAGTAGGATATATGGTACAATTAGAAATAAAGTTTCCTTATTCGTATACAGCGTTTGAAATATTGAGATAATTGTAATTTCATTAAGCTGACGGCTGCACGTCTATAATTTGGACATAACTGGGAAGCAGCCGCGTTGTAAATGTATCCAATTAAGCGCTGAAAAGCGCCTTCCCCAGGGCTTTCTAGATACATAAAGGTAAGGTAAAGTTGTCTCTGTGTTTAACTAATTAAGCACTACGCCTTGAAGACGTATGGGGGAGTTGATATATAGATCCACATTTTCTTGATCTGTGCACTAGTTGGAGGTAAGTTTTCAGGTTCAAGCACTGGCCACTTTACTCCGGGGGAAAGAGCCCCCGGTGCCCATTGGATAGGAGGAGGTTGGGTGGACCCCAGAACTGGTCTGGATGATGCGGAGAAGAGAAAATTCTTGACCCTACCGGGACTCGAACTCCGACCCTTCGGTCGTCCAGCCCGTATCCCAGCTCCCCTTATTATAAGATACATAGAGAAAGAAACGTATGGTGTAAGTACAGTAGGTACTGCTGTGGTCAAAGGTACAGTACGTTGGCGCAGAGTCCATTTAACGACCCTTTTCGACTACAGTAGTAAGAGTAATTCTGAATAAGTAGGCGATTGTGTCCTATTTCTCTAAGGCAATAACTCAGTGCTCACCACATGACACTGAGGGATACCACGAAGATCTTCAGTCGATAGCAGAAAACAGAAATCGAGGCCTCTCGATTGCAAATCAGGAAAGACACTCATCGACCGCGACATTCGTCGTGAAGGAAGAAACCAAACGTAGTAGGCACGATAAAAAAGGTAAAGCTACCCCTGTAGCAGGCCCAAGGTTGTGAGATGTCGAGCCTCCCATATTTTCTAGATAATCGGCTCCCGCACGGCGGTGAGGTTGCCAGCCTTAACCTCCGGCCGCCCTTTACCCTCAGAAAGATTCCTGGTACTCATTTATGTTAGACTCTGAGTCGACCCTAGGGCCATAGTATGGCTGGAAGGATTAGGTCAACTGAAAAATCCAATGACATCATCAGGATTCGATCCCGCGACTTTCCGGGTTGTGGCATAGTGCCTCAACGAACTACTCTACCGCGTGCTCGCAGTAAAGGGAAGTACCGTTTAGTTTTCCCATCTACATCAATCCGGAAGATTTTGGCTCTAGCTAAGGCCGGGAATGTTCAAGAGCCGAAGTAATGTTGGGGGAACACAATGGACTCGGGAGAGTTCTTAGAGTCTAATATAATACTATGGGATTGATGGCAATACTCACCTCAGAGTTCCATCTACCTTGAAAGGGAGGAGATCCCCAAGGATGACGCTTAATTCTGTGTGGTTCGCAGTCACTTCTAGTGGGAACGTTAAATTGAAAATTATTTGAAGATTAAGTAACTGCAAAGACAGTGTGTGTATCAGAACGTTGCTCAGGCCTACGATTAAGCAGTCTTCCAAATCAAGATACTCCAGTCTGTAAAAGGAGATTTATGAATAAGTGGAATGTTAATATATTCTTGAAATATATCTATGCCTCGTTACCAACAACTCAGAATAAATTCGTAATGTAAATAGACCTAATAAATCCTTAAAAAATACGATATACTTCAGGTATTTGGAAACAACAGAAATAAATATAAATTACATTACATCTTATATCCGCAAGGCGATAGCTACGGAGATTTCTGTCATGTGACGTCGTGCAGACTAGTAAATATTTACCGACGTTTCGGGGAACATGGTTACTCAACATTCAGCGTTCAAGGAGGCAATAATCTTCAAACCCAAATTACATTCTCGAAGATATTCTGATCAGATCATATATGGGGAATGCTTGTTGTCATTGTTTTCGGATCTGTTATCTTCGCATTGCCTGTCTAAATACTTGAAGACTAATGTTTAAAAATTATATCGGTTCTTTTGTAAGTTTAGGAGGAAGAATATTAACACAGCGAGGAGTTCTATAATTTGTGCTTATCATCAGGCATGACCAAGATTATTACATTGATAAGGGTGAGATGGGAAACAATCCAATTTGTAGTGGTTACAGGATTCAAGCGAAATAAATAGAGATAATCTGAACAATGTAAGACCTGAAAGCAGCAGACATTTCAGGAATAAAAAGAGGAAATAACTGAAAGACAAAATAAATGAACTTGCAACGAACAGTAATAACAAGAACATTAGAGAAACATGTATAAAGGAATAAATGACTTAAAAGGGTCACCAACCTAAAAGTAATTTAGTGAAGGACGAAAATGCTGTGATCTGTCTGCAGATCCTCACAACATTTTGAATAGGTGGAAGAACCAGTTTTCTATTATTGAATGTGCATAGGTCAGTGAAGTTAGGCAGACAGAAATACATACAGATGACCCATTAGCACCTGATCCTAGCTCTTCTGAGTTTGAAATTGCTATTGCAAAGCTGAAAATATATAAGTCGCCAGCTAGTGATCTGATCAAATTCCGGCAGAACTAATAGAAGCAGGAGGTGAACGTTTTAGGTTCTAAGATCCATAAGCTAATTAATTATATTTGGAGTAAGGAAAAATTTCCTGATTAGTGGAAGGAGTATATTATTGTACCAGTTCACAAGAAGGGTGATAAAACTGACTGTAGTAATTATCGAGGGATATCACTGCTACCAAATTCGTACGAAATTTTATTCAATAAAATTTTCCTGTGGGTGTGAAACTTGGTCCCTAACATTAAGGGAGGAACATAGACTGAAGATGTTTGAGAGCAGGGTGTTTAGGAGAATATTTGAATCAGAGACAGATGAAGTGACAGGAGGTTGGAGAAAGCTGCATAATGAGGTGTTTCATAAGTTGTATTTGCCGCCAATTATAATTATAACAATTAAGTCAAAAAGGATGATATGGGCAGGGAATATAACACGAATGGGGAGAAGAGGAATCCATATAGGATATTGGTGGGAAAGTCAGCAGGAAAGTGACCACTAGGAAAACCAAGACGCATGTGGGTAGACAATATTAATATAGACCTTAGAGACATAGTATGGGAGCGTATGGACTGGGTCGATCTGGCTCAGGATAGGGACCAATGGACGGCTCTTGTGTTCACGGTACTGAACCTTCGGGTTCCATAAAATGCTGGGAAGTACTTGAGTTGCTGCACAATTGGCGGCTTCTCAAGAAGGGCTCAGCTGCTTGAGTGATGATGAGTGAACGTGAGATGATTGAGGCACGTGGGACGCATGGAAAGTCAATATGAAGGCTGATATTAAAGGAATAGGATATGACAGTATCAGATTTCCTATAGTAGGCAGATTATATTTTCAGGTCACTTGTACCGCCAAGGAACTATTTCAGCATGAAAAGCATATCCGTAAACATTTCTGTCAACATATTACTGATACAATATATTGTTTCAAGTTTGGGTCGGTCACCCAGTAATTATTAGTTTGAATCATTTTTAATATAAAACGTCTTCCTTCCTACTGCTTCATTGCCATTGTGTTCTTAAGTTAGAAAAATAAATTTTATGTATTATTTAATCTGTTTTGGGGACAATCTGCATATTTGTCTCGCTTCCGAAAGAAATATATTTTATGAATTTGACAAGTGAACGATAAACGAGCGAAGAAGCGGGTTTATTACAATGCGGCATTTTTAAGATAGTACATTCTAAAATATGTGACTGCAACATTTGTGACTTACTAACAGAACGATAATTGTTTGTTCCTTTCAGATAAACTCACAACGTAAGTAAGTGGCTTTCAGGTATGAACGAATAAAGAAAACCGAAGAGAGAAACAAATTTTCAGACACACAATACACAAATATTTCAATATTTTCCGTTATTATGATGTATTTCTGGCAGCCAAAGAATTATGTCATGTAGGTTGAAATATGTTATCAATTTTCATAGTTTACCTGTCAATATTGCCATTTCTTTTAACAAACTAGGAAGTAGTATTGATTCGCAAAAGTCAAGTTCAAATACTTGTGCTCCCTCCTCCCTTATTTCCTTGTATAACTGAGAAATGTAAGTATAAAAGCAAATTTTATAGCATGTACTTTAGAAATAAATAGCAAGCATGCAGATTTGTCCCTATCGCTACGCAATAGGTTTCATTTTTAACTGTAAGAACATTTCCTTGTTCAGACTGATAGGTCTGTCCGTTCGTCTCGCCCTTCTACCGCCTCTGGATTCGATCCTAAACCGTTTCTGCGCCGACACTTTTCCTGTATCCTTAGGTGTTACATTTTTCGGATTATCCAGTTTTAACCTTAATATATTACAAATCCGTTACACTCCTCATTAAGTAGGCTGCTTTTCATTAAAATGTCGTTGCCTGTTAAACATTCCTTTGAAATTTAAAGCGCATTTCTAACGATTAAATAAGATTAAAAACACTATAAGCATACACTGCTTTATCAGCATCATACATAAATAAATGTACTTATGAAATACACAATTTTCCATACTAAGACTCGAAAGGTTATGTTTCTTTAGGTACGGAATAAGCCTCTGACAGAACAAATCCGGCAGATCCCAGTTTTCTGATGTTCTTCTGGCTTTATGATTATGAAATACAGTAGCTATTATTTTTACTTACTTTATCACACCCGGTAAGTCAATTTCACCAATAGAGATGTTACCCGCAATGGGGTCTAAAGGAGGAATGCCGAACGCTGGTAATCCATTTTCCAGTACAGATCGAAGGAGAGCCTCTAGTTGTTGTTCAAACATTCGTTCTAGAAAATTGAATAAAAGTAAAAAAAGAAGCTAAAGTTATCCCTGTAACAGGCCGTGAAGGCCCATAGGGTTGTGAGATGTTGAGGGTCCCACACTATCTAGACAATCGGTTCAAAGATGGCGGTAAGGTTGTCAGCCTTACGCGCCGGCCGCTCTCTACTCCCCAGGAAAATTATTTAATTACTTCCTGGTACTCATTTCTGTTAAGAGGCTGAGTCAACCCCAGGGCCATTGTGCGGCTGGAAGGATTAGGTCCATTAAGAAAATCCAATGACATCATCGGGACTTGAAACCGCGACCTTCCGGCTTGTAACATATTGCTTCAACTAACTAAGCTACCGCGTATAGAATTTTATTTCAACAAGATCTAAAAGTTTGTGACGATGGTATATAAATAAATTTATTGTGTTTTTGACCGGTTAGAAGTGCCCAGAAGAAGACGTAGTATATGTATAATAGATCATGTGATTGTGGCAGATGTTACATCGGCGAAACAAACAGACGTTTAGAAGTGCGCGTTAAGGAGCACAAATACAACCTGACCTAAGTTCTCTTTGAAAAATTAATATTAGCCCAACATGCACATAAAGAAGGCCACAAAATATGTTGGAAAGAAGTGAAGGTTTTGCAGATTGAACCGAACACCGCCTAAAGGAAATACAAGGAATTCCACCCAATTGTCTCCGGTAGATCATCCGATCAGTAAAACCGGCTTTGACATCCTTCCTATCAGGGCTTCCATTATCGCAGCAGAAGTCATAAAACTACAATTCCGTCCAGTGTAGTTAATGCGAGGAAGTCGTGTTTTTGGTTGGTAATATACAGAGAACTTGTCTTTGGTGATGGCTTATATTCTGAAAGTCTGCTGATTTTATAGACACTGATGGTCAGACAATGCATGGACACAGGTTCTAGGCCTCAATTGTGTGTGTGCCGTTCTTTTAATATTTTTCATGTATGTCTTAACTCTCGCTGATAATCTGTGTTGTGGTTGGTTTATATACTCTGTCTTGTGTTGGTGCTGGTGTCTGCAGATAGGGAGTAGCTCTATCGATTGCGCCAAACTGAGTAGGTTCCACCTGAAGAAGGAGATATAATCCAGTAACCGAAACGTTGTTTTAAATAAAAACATAAGACGATTCATAATGTCCAAAAACACAACAAATGAATTTTATTTAGGTTCCATGAAACACTGAAAGGGTACAGGAAACTATTCCCCCCGACGGTGAAATGCCCTATGCGTGAAGATAACCACTCGTTTCCGTCTAGTGCGGATGTTGAGAGCTGTAGAAGCTTTAATTCTACTTTCCATACATCTTCGTGACGTCACACTTAAGCACAGGGTCAACAACGTAAATTATTTTAAATTAAAAAATCATGGCAATTGTAACGTGATTAATAAATGAGAAATATATTTGTTTATGAGACTAACTAATAACTCTGGTGAGTGGGCTTTTTCTTTAAAATAAATTTATAACCTCTGTGTAACACTCTTTGAAATTCGATGCAAGGAATGTTGGGAAACAAAGTTGAGTTTCTCTATTAACCATAATTTTTTGGAAACATTAATCTGCACTCAAATTTCAAATTATTCAGATTACGACTTGCCGGTTCATAATAGTATAGTCTGGCAAGTGAATTCGAGCAAGTGAGGAGAACATGACGCGCCTCTTTTCAGGGTTGTTGTGTAAGGTTGCGAATATGATTGGTTATAATGACACGTTGCTAGGACAGGCGATAAAGACCAGTCCATGCCAACAGAAACGATGACTAGGTTTCCTCACCCTACACAATTTAACCGAGCGTCTGCTCCCCATTGCTATTTAGATTTGGTCCTCAGGACTCTCAATGACGTTTAGTAATTCTGTCCGTTCCCATTATGTCTGGAGATCCGAGTAAAATATTTTGTTATAATTCTCATGTAGTCGATAGACCTGTAAAAAAGTAAAAGTAAAGTAAAAGTATCCCTTAACAGGCCGTGGAGGCCCATAGGGTTGTTAGATGTTGAGATTTCCACATTTTCTAGACAATCGGCTCATAGATGGCAGCAAGGTTGTCAGCCTTACGCGCCGGCCGCTCTTTACTCCCCAGGAAAATTATTTAATTAATTCCTCGTACTCACTTCTGCTAGAGGCTGAGTCGACCCCAGGGACATTGTGCGGCTGGAAGGATTATGTCAACTGAAAAGAATCCAATGATCTCATCGGGATCTGAACCTGCGACTTTCCGGGTTTTAGCATAGCGCCTCAACCAACTACGCTACTGCGCTACATGTATCCATGGTAATTTCTGATTAATCTAGTCGTATGCGAGATATGACACTCTGTGTAAACGTGCTGAATACAAATGCTTCTTTTTTATGGACACATTACATTAACAGCTGGAAGAAGACTATTGCAATATTTCGATATAGGCCCTTCGAGAATCATATGATAATCGGTAATTCTTTTATCTACTTCTGCTGCTTTTGTCATTAGAAAGATAAAACTAAGATTTTGAACCCCACTTATAAGAATGGTGCTGCTAACACATGCCAACACATGGTATCACTGATATCTCACGATACTGCTGATCAGTCGAATGTACTTTGAATGCGAACAGTCGACTTACGAGGAAGGAGTTTTGTTGGAATTTTTCAGTTCTTCTTTGAATTTATTACTTAATGAGCTATTGAGTAATAGACGAGAATGTGAGTGAGTAATTGAAATGCAAACAACTTTCAAAATTCATATCAATAATATTAACTTACCTTTACCACGGAATTTTGACCAGACTTCTTCATCTACGACATCGTTTTCGATTGTTTTTGTTTTTCTGGGTAAAATTTCTGAAATAAAAATTAATGCAATTTCGCTTAATACCATGGAACACGGTTTGTCTTGAGAAGCAAACAGTTGGTGTAATTTAGCTTAAAAAATTTGCAATAAAATTTCGAAGTATGTATAAAGTCAGTTATCAAACCAAAATTCGTATAGAGTCATTAATAAGTGACAACACTATTTTCCAAATCCATATATTCTTATGAATAATATGCAAAATCCTTCTGAGTATGAAGCTTCATGTTTTGTGCACATATTTCTGTTACATTTCAGAAGCTGACTCTTGTCGTGTAAACTCATATACATGTATACAATTATGGAAACTATAATGAGAGTTATAACACTATTTTAACACCCACCTGCTGTCTTCTCTCCTTCTACAACACAGTTCTGGGTTCCATTCTTGACTTCACAGCTACAGACACACCCAAGGACACTGGCAAATAGAACGACCAGTAGAAGGGAAGAAGAGGGGCATCCCATTGTAAAATGTTTCCTGTCACATTAACGAGCTCTGTTATAAAAATCCATTTCTAGCATAGCTTTACTATTAGACTTATACGCACGCTGTAACATCCGAAGAAGTATATTACTTCTATATAGTTAACCAAAACATCAAGGAATAGTGAACATGCAGACTCCAAAGGGTTCTGGCGATGATGTACAACACTCAAAATCACTGGTCCAGTAACTGAGGTTAGCTCTTTCTAAGGGACCCAATGAATAGTTGTCTTCCCCCTCACCTGAGGATGGAAGCAGATCCGATTTCCGAAATTTTATGTTTTCTAGTTTCTAGAATAGCGGACGATGGACCAAACCCGCACCCCCCAGTAATTCTGAATAATGAACACGCCCTGTATTTCTTCAAGTAACATCCAGACAAAATGAGACATGTGTCCCAGCAATACAATTTCGGTTCCAGTTATAAATCATCGAGTATCGCAAGAGGCTGGGAATTTGTTGTCCAGATGAGCTACTGTGGAGTTAGATACTTACAATTCTTAGTTTGTAGTAGACGTGTACTTTAATGAAGGAGTGAAACCAAATACTTGGTTCCAAGTGTTTTCATAAGTTGGTCTGAAGTTAAATATGTTGATATTTAAATTAAATAATACAAATATTTGCGAAAGGGAGTCAAGGTTAATGTTGATTATTATTTTATTTACCGGCAGAACGTGACTGCTGTGGGAAGGTGGATGACACGATAAGCAGCACATCTCAGCCACCTTCCCACAAGGGTGACATACGTGTACATCTGTAATTAACGTATTGCTACCTGCATCCTGAAGAAAAACAACAGTATTTATTATATAAAAAATTAATGATTTTACTGTCCTCAAAAATAACTACTTTTACAAGGATGATCTATATTTCCGTGTTGACTCGACGACAGTTGAAAATGGCGATCCACATGCGCATGTGTGAAATTGAAAGTAATCTAGAGTGATGACGTTTCACAATATTTACTCATAGTTTCCCTGCGACTCACATCATAAGAATACATTGCAGAACCTTCAACTTTCGTAGGTACATAGAAAGCAGTGCTTCCAGTCACTGCAATATGATTTATGAACGTAGTAGCGAAACCTTAGTTTCCACAATAACTGGAAATTTCTTGACCCGCTGAGCAGTTATTATTTAACAGTGCTGACAGTAGATCAGACTATATAATTCGAAAAAAAAAAGATTAGTGTATAATGAATTATAGAGTGTTTAAAACGAAGGGATTGTGACCGAATTCGAGATACTATTTCAATGTCTGCCTGGAGAGAACGAGGAAACCACGAAATACATCAATCTGGACAGTCAATATTCCCGTCGAGATTCGAACCGGGAAGAACCTAAATACTAGTCAGAAACGTTACCTTTTGGGGGAACGCGGTCGGCGCCCATTCACTGTGGGAAATTTAGTACTAGACTCAAATTTTTCATCCTTTCAAAATATATGTACCATACTTCACTTTGGATATGATATATTTCCGTCGCCAACACAGTACATTACGCGTATTTATCGACCGGGACGCGGAGAGCCAAAACTTTTCTAGAATGGGCAGTGTCTGACCGCGAAGAACTGGAATGTAAGCAAATATCATCATACCCGAAAAAATAGTAACATTGTAGGTAAATCTGGCAACGATTCATCTCCACCACAGTAACAATTTTAAGTTAATTTTAAAATATCTCATCCTGCAGACTGAATAGTGCAACTTGAAGGAAAAACAACCATAATTTCGGCTGTGAGACACAAAGTCAAACACCGTTTTTATTTTTCAATGATTAAGCTTCTCTGAAATCTGATGTCTGATATAAATCTTCTGTCTAACAGCTTTTTTTATTGTTAGTGGGGTGGGACTAAGTCCCTTGTACTGCGGCCACTTCTGGCCTTTTGTACCAGCCCCAGATGATAGGTGAGGGTGATTGTGGAGCAATTGGTGGAATGAAGATTGGCAGGGGAAAAAGAAGTACTCGGAGAAAACCGCCCTAGCGCCGCTTTGTTCACCACAAATCCCATGTCTTACAGCTTAGTTGCAATATTTTTTCAAATGCAGTACTATTGATGACATCCTGTACACACTTTCAGACAAAATTGTAACGATGTGCGGTTTTATGTAGGTAAGTCCAAACATGAATCTCTTTAAGAGTTTGATTTATCTTCTTTCGAATTACGCAAGCATCCCTATATTTGCATTAGACTTCTGTAGGAGCATAATTTATCCTTCTGAGCCCACTAAACACATTTCATTAACTCGTGCCTGTGTTTCTGCCGATTTAAGCCATGAAGAAACAAGATTATTATAGATCGAGTTTCTGTTTTTGACCATTATACTGAAAGGCATCTTCTTGGTAACATACACACAAATCATTATCCACTCACTTCAGAACTTACCTTGTTTGTAGTTACTAAAGGATTCTGACGATGGACACACTGATATATTGGGTTTTTGGACTTTATCCATCGTCCTGGTTTTTAAGATAACTAATAAAAACACGGTGAAAGATTTATACGTACTGAAGGGAAACCAGAGTAAAGTCCAAAAACCCAACATATCAGTGTGTTACCTTGTTTGCTCCAAATTTAATTTCATAAGCACAAAATTCTATTTGTCTGAAATTCAAATACAGGTCTGTAAAAATAGAATGCTAAATAGTGTCCTAAATAACATTTTGATGAGAAAACAATGTTCCATGTGTGCTCTTACCTTGGCTGTAGCACAGGAATGAGAACGCTGTATATTATTCTGAACCTTTCATGACACAGATAAGATTACTCTAATAACTGGATTAATGTACGAAACATGATAAGTAATTTTTGTGCAGGTTAATCGATGTTTACTGCTGAGTATTCATTTAATCTTACTCGTCTAGTAAAACTCATTATCCTTAGAACTGAAACTGAACGTCCTAATTAAGAGGATAAAGTATATAAAAATTTAGTATCAAGAGCAAGGATAAAAGCGTACTCAAATAAATTAATAAATTCTTAATAATAGACGTTCTGACCTTATTTAACGAAATGTTGTGAACTTCATTATTTAGGGCTTGTGTCGTGTACGAACGATGATTTGGAAGAAGGTTGGAACAAGCAACAGTGGCTTACTCTAAGATGAAAGTGTGTTTACCTTAACGTCCTGAGAAGCCTCGATAAGATACCTTTTAACCCAGAATCGAAGCCGGGACCTCCAAAATACGAAGTACGCCAAGCCTGAAACCTCTTGTTCTCTTTCTGCAACTGATTCGATTCAAAGTCAAAGTTACTTTACAACTAGCGATTTACGGCCAATCAATTCTTCTTGGCGCCAAGCACTTTGAAACTCACGTCCAGAGATATTTTTTCCACCAAACACTTGAAGTCATACTCCATATATAACATCCTCTTTGACGAGAAGACGAATATGCTTGGTCTTTTGTCAAGTGGACATATATCATGTTATTGAAAATGTTTTCTTTTGCACTATATACAAGTCCTCTGTCAGTACAGGCTTCGTAAAGCAGATCATGTCTAGCTTATTTACCTTACACCACATTGGCAGCTTAGTTACTCGAACAACCGTAAGCTTGACCACCTCCAAGTTTAAGTATTTTATATTTTCTATGTCTGATTTCGCCTTGTCCTATACAGCGAAAATTCGATTCGTTCTTTCAGAGTCTTTTTAATACAAAAACCTTTCGTCCAGTTTTGTCTATTACATCTCTGCTGTTGCTAGGTTGCCGCAACTGGTTTAAAATTCAAAAGCAATTTGTGCTCAACGCTATTTCGTTCTTGGTAAGTTAAAAGAAACGCCAATCACGGTAGCCGAGCGGTCTAAGGCATGTACTGTCTTCCCTCGCTTGGAAACCAGGATCATGGGTTTGAATCCCACTCAGGGCATGGATGTTTAGTTTGTGTGTGTGTGATTTTCTGTGACTGTGTACAGGTAGAGGCCTTGCAAAGAGCTGATCACCCGCCCAAGGAGTCCTACCGAATGTGTAAGATCTAGAAAAACCGAAGTGAACGGAGTTCATAGGCCTAGGCCACTGGGGCTGTAGTGCCAGGGGGGGGGGGAAGAAAAAAGTTAAAAGAAAACCAGCAACATAAATATATAGGATTGTTCATTAGATTGTCAAAAACAGTTTCATTGTGGTATTAGTATGGTTAATTTTTCTACAGAAATGCGAGTGAAGAGTGGACGCTTTCGCTAGTGATAAATATCTCTTTCGAAAGATTTGAACATTTTATTCCGTCATTTCCAAAACCGTGAATTCTGAATACCTGGTTGCCAATTAAACTCGAATTAAGTGTCTTATCTCTTCTATTTTTTTCCTGTGGCGCTACAGCACCAATTTGGGCCTAGGCCTATCTCCATGAAACTCTCCGTTTCACTTCGGTTTACTAGATCTTACACATACGGTAGGACCCCTTGGGCGAGTGATCAGCTCGTCGCAAGGCCTCTACCTGTAGACAAACACAGAAAAACGCACACAAAACATCCATGCCCTGAGTGGGATTCGAATCCACGGTCCCGGCTTCCCAGCGAGCGAAGACAGTGCACGCCTTACACTGCTTGGCTACCGTGACCGGCCTTATCTCTTCTATGCCCCATCCTTAAAAAGTACTGTGATTCTCTGCTGCCTACTTCAAGTTGATTGCTTGGCTTATTCTTTGACCCTGAAAATTGAGGCAGCATGTTCCTCCGAAACGTCGGCTCAATTTCAGCGGACTACACAGCGATATATCCCACAACACAGTAGTGATGACTGATTCTGTTTCGATCACAGGCGTATGTAATTAAGAATGTGGCATGAGAACGTCGTTGCTTATTTCAATGTACTATCCCAGCCTTCGGCTGGATAGACTAAGGGAAGCGTAGAAAGATCTCATTACCAGGACAGCCGATAGCTCGGAAAAAGGTTAAAGCCGGGTACCTTCCGCATATACATCTGTTAGAAGCTTCTCTACACTAACCTTCTCGGTCTAGGAAGCGTAGTACTAACTTGCTAAGTCAATACAGTGGTGTTCTTGTTGAGAAGTAAGGACCTTGCTTTATTGAATTAATAACTAGTATGAGCCGGGACAGCTCAGCCGGTGTAGCGACTAGGCTACGAGCAAGACAAACGAAGAGTTGGGTTTCGATTTCCAGTAGGGGCAAGAGACCTTTTTCTTCTCCATAACGTCTACACCAGCTCTGGGGCCCATCCACTCTCCTATATAATGGAAACCTCAGGCTGTTTTCCCGGGGGTAAAGCGACAGGGGCGTGAAGCTGATCACTCATCGCAATCTAGTATCAAGATTAAAAATGTGCGGGATTATAAATCCGCTCCTTCTTACGTCTTCATGGCCAGGAATAATTTTATATTTTTCTTATTGAGAAGTGGACAGCTGCGTATCTATGCAAGAAACTTCACTTCTTCTTGTTCTTCTTCTTCTCTCTCTCTCCCTCTTTTTTTTTTCTCAAGTCCGGAAGAGCCTGTCAGCGGCCTCCGTAGTCTAGGGGTAACGTTCCCACCTCATGACTCAAGGTACGCGGATTCAAACCCGGCGGAGGTCGTGGAATTTTTAAGGGCGGAAAAATTCAGGGAACAAGTCCTCCGGGAGGGACTTTAAACCGTGGGTCCCGTGTCGTAGCTTTACGGCTCGTAAAAGAACCTCATGTCTCAATTTGTAAGGACATTTCTCGCCCAACAATAGTCTCTAACGCCTCTGGTAGAGGGGGGAAGCATCTAGATACCGCTGAGCCAGTAGAGGCCGAACTCGCTGGCTGAGTCGGGACTGATGGCACGAACCAGTACCGGTAGGTTATAGAGACTGGTAGAATATCACAGGGGGACGTACAATAGACCAAACTTGTCGCGGTTCATGGGGAACCCCACCCCCTCCAATAATAATAATAATAATAATAATAATAAGGGAGCCTGTTCTGAGACAGACGAATCCAGTCCATGCCTCCAATCCTATTTCTTTCAGATCCAATTTACTACTATCCTCCTATCTAAGTCTCTCTTCCAAGTGGGCTCACATGTTTCGAAATTTCGACTAAAGTTCTGTATGTTTTTCTTAGCTTTCCCATATGTGTTAGGCCTACAACCCGAAAATTCTCATCCTCCTGAATAAGGTTAAAAATATTCCTTCGTTACAAGTATAACATACCGGTATTTATCATGCTTTCAACGTTACATATTGTGGCATGTAGTCCCGTTGCTAGGCAAGGACCGCGAAACAAACAACTAGACAACAGCCGTTACTAGGCAACAACCCGTAAACATCAACAGAGTAAAGGTGTTTTCTGTCTGGTCCGTGCCAATATGTTATAAGCTATAAACAGGACAGTTAAAGAGAGTCAGTTGAGTTGCGTTAGTTGGTTGGTGAGTGACTCAGTCAGTGAGTTAGAGAAATGCTGAGGGTCAGTCGAGAAGCTGGTAGCTGAGGCCGGTGACATTTCGGGAACCCAGAGGAAGGGGGAGTCCGCCGTTGGAAGCCGCTGTCAAGCGAAGGCTAGTGAAGACGTGACTGTGGATAATTACGTGTGTGTAATAGTGAATAGTGAAGTGAAGTCACGCACTGTGTTAAAGAGTGAAATAAATCCGATCATCAAAGCGAAACCCATCTATATTCACTGCATACGCGTGATAATATCAGTGTTAAAAATACAAATACATCCAACAGGCGCGCCCTTTCGCTTTTGGCAAACATTTAAATTTAACTACACTGGAAGCATCAAATCATGCCTTGCTCCAGTAAGAAGAGCAGCAGATAAAGATATAGGTTGTATCAGTCAACTGGATATCATTTTTGTCCGTATCGTTCTTTTGACCGTTAGTTTTGTCAGCGTTACTATTTATAGGCTTAGGTTATACAGAAATATCTATACTGTTGATTACCTTTGCAACAGTATATTTGTATTGGCAGTAAATATACCACAAGACCGATGACGAATTCATGTCAAAAAGAGCGCAATTGCTACCCAAACACTTGTTAATAACACACGATGTCCTGTGAGAATTAACACCTGGATCTGGGAGAAATTAACGCGAAGTATTGTGTGTTGCAGTGCTCGAGTAATTTAGTTCTCTAAACACGTGATCTTGATAATATTATCTTATCGGAATATTGTATCTTATCACGTCAGTAGCATTTAACAATGTTCTCAGAATTAAAGTTTAAGGTCAGAAAACCCAGTAATTGTGAGTATTATACACCATCGTCAGAACCCTTTAGGATCTATTTATAAGTGTATTTCTCAGCACCGCACAAAAATTTGAAATTAGGGCGGATCAGTCTCATAACTAGAGTCAAACGACACTGAAAGTAATTTGACTTGTGTTCTTATACTTGAGTATGTCTTGTAAAGTGGGAGTTGAATTATTGTTGAAGAAACTGAATTTCTTGAGCGTGTTTCATAGTTTTACAGCTTTCATTTTAGAATTGCGACATATTGCTTAATCGCAGTTGCAGTTCTCGTAGTCGAAGTTTCCTCTCGAACACTGCTATTTTGTCACACACTTAACTGATATGGGTGGATTGCTCCTTGCAGGCTGATTCTGACTTCATTCACGTGCTGAGTAACGTCAATTCAGAATGTAATATCACACAACCAGACGCGATCGCAAAGCTGAAGAAAAGTTCCCGCTTCGACCGCAGAAATTAACAAATCTCTCACAGGTCATACGCGCAAATGCGTCTTCACGACGTAAATTACGACTCAACTAGCTACGGACTTCCCTATAGTAAAGAAAATTTCTGTACTCAGATCCAGTGCCACTAAATATGTTGTCTCAAT